ATTCACCTAAGAAATAGTTATCATAATTGCCAATTCTCGCAATTTAAAATTACATCTCAATGTAAAATCGATCTTTCGCTTGCAAATTTAGAGGGTGTTTGGTGGGGATTAAAATTAGATTTTTAATAGATTGTAATAAAAGTTTTTGAAATGTGTGGTTGAAAAGTTGTGGGACCCATAAAAAATGTGGTTAATATTGACTGCTTGACTTTGACTGGATTAAAATCAAATTTTAATCCAAACCAAACATATGCTCAATTTCCATCTATCAAAATTGTAATGGAAACAAGTTATTCGACCCATTATGTTACAACAAATTGTTTGGACACGTTGCAACTAAGATAAGATTGGTGATGATCTCAAAGCAATATAATAATTATTATATATATGTAAGATATGTGAATGCTATTTGTGTATGTAAATAGGAGAATACAATAGGAATATAAATATAGTTGTCTATGTATTAAATCAAGAATAAATGATGAAATTGGAAATACTAAGAAAAATATGGACTCCATCGACCAAAGATTTAGTGCTCAAAACAAATTTGTTGTTATAAGACACTTTTAATGACCAAATATTGGTTGGTAATGATTTTGGCTCGTCAAGAGAAACCTAGCCCCTGTTTGGTCTAAATTAAAATCTGATTTTAATCCAAATTAAAGTCAAAAAATCAACATTGACAACATCTTTCACGGGATCCCAAACTTTTCAACTACACATTTCAAAATTTTCTATCACAATCTATTAAAAATCAAATTTTAATTCCCACCAAACACTCTCCTAATATTTTATTACCTTTTGCAATCAAAAATTGGTTGCAGACGGTCGATTTCATCAACCAAACAAGAAGTTGTCATATAGAGCGATCGTTGAAGCCCTTGATGGAAGTAAAACTTATTTTTTCTTTCTCGTGATTGGAGTTTTAGTGATCAATCGGAAAAGTGGTCGGTGAAGGTATTTGCTTTGGACTAACAACTCAACTAACTTTTACAAATTCAGATTATCAACAAATTATATAGCGTAGGAAATTACTAAATGTAGGAATTCCAAAATTTCATCCTACTTTCCTTTAAACGGGGTCTATGTTGTAATTTTGCAATATTTAAAAAAATTAGTATTTATCAATTGACTCCCCTATTTTTGGTCTGTTTGTGTAATCTGCCCAATGGCTAATGAACTTAATTGGGCTTTATTTGAGAATGAGGAAATTACAAAAAATCAGTGGTTTAAACTTTCAAATTCAAAATTCAGGTCCAAGATTAATCTAATCAAAAATCAGGTATAAATTAAATATTTAAATAATATTATAATACTAATTTTTCAAACCCTCATTCATTT